AGTGATTGCTTAAATTGAGGAACTTTTTACTCTGTTTGTATTGACAGGATTTCTTGTGTCTGGAAAATCCCGATGAACAGCGGTATTCTCTTCCACAACCGGGATGTTTGCATTGATAGCGAAATGGTTTTTTGTGTCTTTGGAAATGTTTTAAATATTCGCTTTTGCCCTGGATGATCGCATTACAATCGGGATGTGGACACTCATACTTTTCAACATCTGTAAAATAACTGTTGTAATATTAAAATGTTTTGAGAAATACTCGTTGCCCGAATGATCTTGTTTACCCAATAAGCTTTGATCGGCAATGTGATGGTTTCGTGTATCTACCAACGTATGCCCTAAATACGGATTTCATTCCGTTTAGCCTAAAATTATCACACTGAGTCAAACTGAGTCGAAATGAACGGTTAGTACCCTTTTGGTTTCCTGAATCAAATGGCGTACTATTTTTTCCATGCATTTATCACTATTTACTGAGGTTAGAAAAATTTTGCAGTAAGTATTGAATTTAGAATTGGCATTTCACTGTCGTAAGTGTTTTACAATACATTTTCATGCGAAGAAATACGTTAAAAAGCTCTTTTGCTAAGCATAAACTTTGCAAAACTAACCCCTAATAGCGTGATATGTCCGCTTGTGCTTTAGTAGTGCACGCTTGGAAGAGAATATGCCACAAATTTCACATTGAGATTTAGTTTGATGTTTTTCGTAATGCTCTCGAAGTCCCTTTGAGGTAAGGAATTTCTTTCCACATGTGGACCAAGTGCACTTGTATAAACCTTGTTCCTTGTGCGTTTCAAGGTGTTTTGAATATTCCTTAAACGTCTGCATAGTCGCATTACAATAACGACACTCATACTTCTGTTCGACTGAAAAACTGGTATGACGTTTTGTTAACAAATACCATTTTATATGTTGATTAATGAATAAAATTAAAAAATGCATTAATGAATATAAATTGAAAAATGACTGTGTTAGCATCATTCATTAAACCTATCAAATTACGTTATGATTAACTTAGATTACGGGATTCACTTTTTTAAAGTATATCATATATTTCTTTTTAAACAAAGAGCTCATTCGCAGTGTTGCCTCCAATGGAAGAATGTCGGATGAAAAGTAATTCTGAATTTTTCACTGCAACAGGATAGAATTCGGATTTGGGATTCTTTGTAGCTTAGATCTTCATGCAACTGAGTTAAAACATAAACTGAAAGGATTAAAACGATATGTCATTATATAATTCTTTACTGCTTGTTCCCGGTAATTGTCCATTAGTATTTCCCATCCACTGTTATATGTAACTGCTCTGAAGCACTTGGTGCTAAATCCGAGTTGTGGCAGATGTTAAAGTATTCTGAGAAATACTCATTGCCCGAATGATCTTGTTACCTAATAAGATTTGATCGGCAATGTGATGATTTCGTGTGTCTACC